AAAATCATGTTCATCTCAATCATCACTATTAGTGTAATTTTTGGTAACGTTTTCTTCACACAAATTTTCAATATCATCAATGGTTGATGTTTCATCATAACAATTATCACAATCATTACAATCAGCATATTCATCATCAATATTATTATTATTATTATTTTATTTTGAAGCAGTTGCAGTTGACGAAGATTTTGAACTGTAAAAAATGAGTAGAAAGATTAACATATACTCTTGATAGAAAATGCGGCAGACATAACATAAGATCCTTCTCAACTAATTTGTCTTTAGAAAGAGTCGAACATAAACCAAGGAGTACATTTACATCAAAATATGCTTAATTTTAGTCTTGTGGACTAAAATTTTTCAAAGAGTGGGATCATCTGCATCTTCAGGCTCGTAGAACATCAAACTGTAAAAATACCTTCACGAATAGCTAAAATTGTTTCTTTTTTTATCAGAAACCATTTTAATAAGAAATTATGAAAATAAATAGCACGCAATAGAAGTCTTGCTTAAAAACTTAGCCTTCTTGGACAAATACCAGACTTGAGACCTTTTATTGCAAGAAGTTTTTCGTGAGACCATTAATACTTTTTCTATACTCTCAACATTTTAACATCAGCTGAATAATGATGAAATATGTTAGAATTATAATATGCCATTTGAGCTATCGATAGACTCAGTAAGAAAACTTTCCGAATTTTAGCACACGATACACTTGTACCAGTGCATTCTTTTCAGTATTCTCTAAGTGCCTATCCATTCTCTCTTTATATCTCTGTTGAGACGTATGATTACTTTTTTTATTCTCATTCACTCAAACATTTTGTATCATTTTCTAGAGAAGTTGATTACAGAAGCAAAAAGTGTTTACTAACTTTGATGCTGTTTTATCAAACAGCCATAAGGCTTTTTTGACTACCAAACTAAGATTATGTGCTGAACATCCTATATGCATACCAAACCAACACTTCCTGTTGCACATTTGATTTCCTTTCCTCCAACTGTTTTAATTTGTCGAATTTTTTTTTCTAAATCCATTTTGTTAAATTTATTATTAATAAATGATCGAAATCTTTCACTGAAATGTTTATTGGAAAATCAACAAAATAATAAAACCATTGAACGATTTTCCAATGATGATGACAAAAAATGACAAGTTAAAAAGATAAAATATTGACCGGTAGGACTTTTCCAGACATCAGCTGTAAGACTAATATGTGACATAGAAGATGATTCTTGTTTTATCAATTGTCGTTGCTGTTGATATAAACCTACAAGCTGTTTTCGAACAGTCTTTCGATGTGGTCCTGGATAGCTGGGTTTAATAACAGATAAAAGCTTAAGCATGCCGGACTTCCTCAAATGATTAAATGGAAGTGCATCTTTTACAATAGCTTCAATTGCAGCAGCATTAATTATTCTTTTTTTCAGCAGATAGTTTTTCAACCACTTTGGTGACTCTTGATTTTTTTCGAGAAAAGTATAAAAAATAGATCATTTCTTATGTTGTTCCTAAATGACTTCATAAATTGACGTCTGAATTTTCATTCGTTTTGAAAAATACCTAAACATAAAGAATAATGAAATAAAACACTTGGCATCTTCAATATTCAAAAAGAAAATCTTTTTGCAGAATGTATTATAAATTGTCTGGCAATGTTCTTTTCCCGTGAAACATTTCCAGAGACTTCTATTAATGCAAACCTGTGGGAGCTCCTGTTATCATATGAAGAAAAAGCTATCGGAAATTATAATAACTCTTGCAAAAAGTTGTGGTCTATATTATTTTGTTCAAGTAGCAAAATATTCCCACTGAATCATGACCAAGTTTCAATGTAACTTCCACTGAAACTTCGAGTTTTTTAATTAAATTGAGCATCATTTCTTTTCTCTATAGTTATGCATGATTAGGATTTAACTCCATAGTTTTTATATATACCAGACCTTGTAAACACATCTCACAATAAGATTTATTTAATCTTTAACACAAATTAATATGATGAGATATTTCAGAATATATATTATCTGATTCAATTTGTTGAATTGATAATTAGTTTAAATAGTATGAGATTTCTCCAAACGCATCTAGATAGTTTATAAATTATTTTTATGGAAGACAAACATAAATGCAAAAGTCAGCATTTTTCTTTTTTAATAAGCTTCTAGTACAATTAAATATTAAAATAAAAAAGCTAAGTTCTTTTTCAATTTTATTTTTATTTGTTTATCTTAAATAATTTAATATTTCATCCTCTATGTAGTCAAACATCATCGTTGGATAATATATTATCGTGTTGATCCAATTGTTGTTCAGTATTAATTATATTCATTTGGAAGAAAAGACGATCGCATGATATTTTCATTTTTGTTTTGAAATAGTAAAAAATAAACGCATGTGTCCTACATATGAGCACTTTGTTGAAATTGATCTGATTTTTAATTCTCAACAACAGTATCCACATCGCACATTGTATTAATATTTACGACCCAAGCCTCGAAACGGGCCAGTTTTTGATGGTCAGATCTGAGTGCGGGTGCGGGGTTGGTGGATATCAAGGAAGAAGCGATTGATTCAGTGACTCTAAGTCATGAAAGTCTTTTTACATCAATTAAGCCTTTCGCTTTCCTTTCTTCGAATTTATTCCCTAATTACATGACTCACATTTTGAGCTGAAATGTTCATCCACGTTTGGTCCTAGCGAGCAACGCTTGTGGTAACAATTTTAGTCTGATATACTTGATTAGATGGCGATATCGGCTCGTTTTCCTATCTTCGAAGAGAATTGACATTGACGGAATCATAAAATTCCTTTCTATTCATCTTTTTTTCCTAGCAATGTGGTGAACACAGTAGTAAAATACGCATAAAAAAGTATAAACCGACGCCAGTACATCCTACTTTTCTCAGCTCTGGGGATTGAATATCAAAAACCCATCCGATGAAAAGTTAGCTCCGATTAAGGCTTTCAAAATAAAAACACAAGTCAATCATAGGTCGAGTCAGACGAGGGTTATTTTCAGTTTGTCTGTCTGGAAACCGTATCCTGAGAAAGACATTAAAGAAGTTCTACAAATGAGTCATTTTGTTGAAATGGAAAAAAAAACAATATTAAATGATGTATTCTACTGGGTCGTTTTAAAATACGTAATAGATGAAGATAGGCAACTTCGTCTTATATGCTGGTTAATATAAATATATTTTATTCAATGATAATGCAAGTGGAGAAGCAATATTTCTGAAACTGAAAATCTTTAAACAACGGGAATTTTTTTCCGAAAACATGGTAGTAGACGCATTGCTCTATAGGCAAGTCTTTGAAAAATCTGATAATCTTTCCAAAAAACCTATAAACATTCTGAAAAAAGAAGCTTTGCTACATCTTCTTATAATAAAAACTTGACTTCACTATGTGCGTGAAAAACTCGATTTTTCTAAAGAGGGATGTGTAAGTATACTTCAAAAGAACACTCACACCCACACTAAATTCCTCCTTTTCCTTCAACCCATTGTCATAAAAAGGAGCTAAAATGATTTGTACTAGAATTAAATCTCGGTATTTTAGTGTCTTTCATACATTTCGAGATCGAGATTCTTGTATTTTTCCTATTTTCATCCAGATCAACATGATTGCTGTCGGTTAAAGACTCTTGCCATCAAAAGTTTTCTCTTTTTATTGACAAAACAAAAGCATATATTTTCTATCTGACGATGAAGATAGTACAACATAAAATGAAAATATTTTTTATTATAGAAATAAACTAGATTGGCTGTTTCAATCGAAACAAAAGAATGTCATTTGTTTTTATTTTTTGATTACGTCTTTTAGCGTTAGAACCACAGGGACAGTTATCAAGTGTTTTTCTAATAGTGTTGTTATTCGATGTTTTATAACTTTTAAATAAAGCAAAGTTACATAACTGATTATTAAGAGCCGAACACACGACATATTTCAATCGTCTTTTGGCGCGTTTTATGATCCATGCATTCAACGATTGACAATTGAGTGTAGTCAACCAGCTACTAAATTGGAAGCTTTTGAATAAGAATTTTATGGTATATGAATGCAAAACATTTATGGTTGGTTCATGAATATCAAGTGCTTGAGAAACTTGTTTTCTTAACAATCGTTGAGATAAACCGAGGTGGAATTTGAAATAAATAAATGACACACCATGTCTATAGAGTACCATCCATGAATGATGGACCATATGTTTCAATATTTGAGATGATAAATAATAATGATATAGAATTGATTCAGAAATTATTCGAGAGTGTGCGTGTGGGTGTGGTTTAACATCAGAGCAACACTGCAACCATACACACACCCACATTACATCTCAAGATCTGAGTACTTTCAAATGTAAGTTCAATGAGAAAAAGACATTCTTCGATGAAGCATTCAACATTTCGGTTGAATCTTTATCACTCTCGGCACGAATTCATAGATAGATGGTTTCTCGAAGAAAACAAAAAGAATAGTCATTGTTAACTTTAAGTATATAAGCGACAAAAAGAACCTGCAATCAAGTAGTCTCCAGGATTACACATCAGAATCTGTAATACTACGAATTTGTTTCACAAATATAATGGATATGTTTATCTTATATTTAGAATCAAAATAGATTTTTCATGATTAACTCATATTTAAGTAAACATTAGCTTTTAAGTTCACTAATTTTTGTACAGTGTCTTTGCATTTAGAAAACAAGTTGTTTCAAAAAAAATGTAACAGTACTAGAGTTGAATTGTGTTATTTGTTTGCTTCGTCAATAGTGACGGAATATTGTGCTTTGCCCGAGAGTCTTTGGATTTTAATCCATGCTTTATAATATTCATGTTCTAATGTTGTTGTAAAAGGAATTCTAACATCTGTATAGTAATAATTCACTAGCTTCTTTGATTTTCATTGTGCACTTTTCTTAGCTAAATAATTTACAATTTTTGATTTGGTGTTTGCATCTACCTTTTCTGTTAAAGAAAACTCTGTTAAAATTTTTCATATTTCATAAACTTTTATAGCACTAGCGCTTTTCAAATATACCATTAAATTATTAATCAATTCATTAGACGATAAATGAATAAGAGTAACTCCAATTACGAAGTATTCTTTCACAAGATTTTCATCAAATAGTGTGTCCATCGCACTGATAATTACTTTATGATCATATTGTTCCATGGCTGCAAGTAATATAAAAGCATTACCTCTTGCTGGAAAATACGGATGATAGTTAAGCATTTTTTCCAACAATTGAATCATTTGAATTTTATTAAAATTTGGAGAACTTGTTATTTTTCGATACAAATAATCTTCTTTTTGAACACAAGCAGAAACCAAAGATAACAAAATTTCACTTAGAATCAATTCAAATATAGTATTATTAACAACATTCAAACTTATCATTTTGAGTATTAACCACTGTATTAAATTTTCCATTAGAACAATATTTATCGAAAAATTATTTAATAGATTTAATATTGCTTTGTTTACATCATTAGAAACAGTAAAATTACAACGATCTATATTTTGGATTTGATCGTAATTCTGCCGTGAAAGATCTTCAACTCTGGCAGTTGTCTCGGTGATTAAGATTAATTCAAGATTTTCAAAATAAGTTTCATCAATAATAGTTGCTGAAGCAGAAACTTCATCAAGAATTAATTGTATTAATTCCATATCTCTATGTGAAAAGTATACACACTGTTGAAATTGACTTGTATCTATCGTTGCTAGTAATCTTGTAAATTCAATCCATTCATCTTCTGTAATCTGAGAACGCCTTATTAAATGCATCGCAGAATGAAGTAATTTNTTGCTTTTTACAAATGTTACTCATTTCCGTGTAGATAATCTTCTACATAAGAATGAGATTGATACATCGATCCGAGACCTCATAAACCGGACAGTAAGTTGGAAACTGTGTAAGAGTCTGCAATTTGTCTTTACTTACGAAAGTCAAAACTAAATAGGCCATTTTGTAGAGAATTAAATTCTGCATCGAATGGTATGTCTCTCAATATTTTTTCAAAAATTTTTTTGGTTAAAAAATTCAAAATATAATTTTTCACAAGTTTAAAACCCAGTTTTTGATTCTAAAACCTAACTTTTTTACAAAATAAATGTCAAATTCGTAATCAGCGTTAAAAATTGCATCTAGTAACGCATTCAGATTTGTCCAACTCGAAAAAAAAATTTTTCGAAACTTGATCAGCGAAGTGTCGCGTTACGTGGACAAGCCGTTTTACATTTGAAAGAGCTAAAACAATTTTGGAATGAATCGTCAAAAGATAAAAAAATTATGACATACAAACTTGCAATATGGATTACAAGTAATTTGAAAATGTTAAATAAACAAGATCTTCATCAGACTATACAAGATATATCTAAGTGCTTAACGATTGAAAGAAAATCTCTTGCAGTAATTGAGAAATGGCTCGACTATCGAAAGGATAAAGTTCTGAAGATCTTTGCACACTATATTGCATTACAATTGTTTCTACAAGATTCAAATATTCCAGATTTAATCGATATCATAAATGAGATATTTTATATAGATGATAAATTTAGTTGGGAATCAATTGTAGAAAACTTGATTAGCTTTCGACTTGTTAATTCAAATGTTGTTCATTAAATGTTAATTACATTACATGAAAATATTCATTGTTATTCGAACCTTTCTGTTTTGATTTCTTGTAAAGAAATGTTTGAATTATTTCTCAATTTGGAACTGAAAAGAGTTATTTCGAATGTACGTGAATCATCTAAAGTTTCACTCAATTCATTTTTATCAATGATTCGCTATTGTTCAGGAGATTTGAACCTTTATCTTGTAAAAAATTTTCGCTTATATTTTAATTTATAATCTGAATTTGAAAAAGCTATCAAAGATGAATATTTTGCTATTATTGTCGAATGAATCAATAAAACTTTAACTTCGTATGATATAACGATGATTTTTTGATAGAATTATACAAATATATTGTTACACTTCCAGATGTTAAACAATTTCCTCTAGTCTGCAAAGTAATTGTCAATGCTCTTAACAGAGAATACCATAATTATTTTACAGGAAATAAGAGTATGCTTTTGCAAGATAATATAATTACTGAGTTGGAGAAAATGATTTATTCTTCGTACATATGTTCAGAAGATATTTTAGCTGTTTGTTTACTGGCTTATGGTAATTGTTTAATTCAGTTACACGAATTTAAAATGGGTCAAAATTAGTCAGATGAGATGAAAAATATTCTTACTATTATTTCTCAAAGATCGTCATCAGAAGTGACTTCTATCAGAACTAATTTTTGTTTATTATTCATCGAATCTTTAGATATAACCTGCCTGACAATACTGAAATGGTTCAGAAACAAGTCAAATACAACATCTGAAAAGCGATACAAGATATTGTTACAACAAACATTATATTGCACGAAGGATACATCACGTACCATATTTATAGATGAAACAATTGATAACTTAAAAACACATTCTACTGAGCTTATTGATTTTTTTTGTCATTGGTCTATACAATTGTTTGTGTAACATAGATAAATTTGACTCTCTTTTTGATCCTATGCCTAACTATATCGGTATAGGTGGAGATATCAGTAGCAGTAATTGGACTGCATTTTGAGATGCTATTCAAAGAAGTATTTTTGGTGAAAAAAGAATCCACATGGCAATGAAGCATTAATAAATAATTATGCAGATTTTGGTATACTAACAACTAATTTAGTTGAAATGTGCGAAGCGTATACGGATAATTATTTTTTTGACATTGAACAAGGTCCTAATTTGAGCAATCTCACAGAGGTTAATCAAAACGTGATTGACGAATTGTTTCAAGTTTTAGATTTCAAGATGTATGATAGAAAATTTAAAAGTTCTTGATGGATATTGAAATATCTTGTCAATAGTCATATTATATCTTTGTTGGAAGCGCATCAGAGGATTTCACTTACCAATAACATCTTTGATTGCAACGCCAATCAACTTGGAAAGAGTAAAGAATATATTTTTGACCTGTTACCGAACACAAGTTGTTTTAATAAAAGTGTTTTTTCCGATTTCAATAAAGTATTTTTTAGTAAGAGTGATATTCATGAAGAATTCGAAAAAGTAATTAATCTTCTTGACAAGAAGTTCATTTTCTTTGTCAGAAGAAATAATTTCTGATCATTTTTCCGAATAGTTCGAACTAAGAAGATCATTTTGTATTTCTATTAGATTCTTGCACCATCACATTTTTTTTCTATAGTACATCTCATTATGATTAAGAATATTGTTCATTTCAACATTTTATTTCTATCCAATTTAATTGTTCATTATTGTCAAGCTCTTTTTTGTTTTTTTGTTTTTTTTTCATTTTAAATCTTCTTTATTTTATCTATGAAAGTATTTGTTTATGTTTAATAAATCTTCATTCCGAAAATGTAAAAAGATAGGTAAGGGTTAGTACCCAGAGTTATCAGAAACGCTAAAATCCTCATATATCTTACGTTTATGCAAACTGCAATAGATTTCTACAAGACGAAGAATTTTAATATTCTATGCTTATTTTGAAAATTTATTCTTTTTTTTTCGAATTAAAATTTCCATGCATAAAAATTACAAAAATGTCAAAAAGTATTATATAAGTACATATTCTGTTACAATTACAATTAAACAAAATCACACATATGTTACTATTCTTTTTCACAGAATTATCCATCATTAATATATGCGAAGCCTAAGACCATCGAAAAACAATAATTGAATACTTAACCAGATGCTTCTGGACGTTTTACTTACTAGAGTACCGAAAGTAACGAAATAGAAAACGTAAACGGTTGGAACATTCTTCGTACTTCCATTTTCTATACATTCAGGATGCACTATTAAAGCTTCAATCTCCACAATCGCGCCCAGACTGGCATAGATATCTACATTCCATCCTCAATAAATACGGGAATAAATTCGTTGGTAATGTGCTAGATTAAGATTGACAATTTCTCATCACGTCAATCATTATAAAATGACTAATGACCGATTGAACATTTTTCATGGCAGAAAGCTCGTCGCATGAGGCCTCTTCAATTGGTTAAATTGACATTGGAAATGCTCGTGTTATTGATCAATGAAATTCTGTACGACTATCTGTCGAACTGAATTATTATTATTGTATGACATGATCTCTTGAATAGTACACGATTCATCATATATATATATAAAGCACTTTACTTCTATTGGATACACTTATTCTTTTATTTTCTTTCTTTTACTTTCCTCTCTCTTCTTTCTTCATTGGTATATACTTGTTCGTTGCTGTCACACCTGTCTCTCTTTCTCTCTATATTTTTTAATAAATTAGATAAACCAGTGCTAACAAAGGTGTATTTCCTTTATTCTCTTAAATTATTCAGTAATGTTCTTTCACTCGCAACATTTGTTTTTTTTTTCATATATTTGGTATGACAACATCCAATGAAAAGGTAAAAAAATAATACGTTTTCCAAGTTTTTACTTATCATGTTGAAAGAACATGAATTTAGAGAAGAAAATTAATTTGTGTGATGTTATATTTTGAAGAGTTTCGCCAAAAAAGACAACTCTATTAAAACAAAAATCTACGAATAAATCTCCATGAAAAATAACAGCGTATTTGTCAAATATCACAAACAAATTATTGGACTTTATGAAAGATAAAGAACAAAAACTCGGTATCAATTGGAGAAATTGAGATTACAGGTCAGATATCATAAACAATACATCATTATCTAAAATTCGTTGCTTGTATAAAATTCAGTGAAAAATAATATTGGTGTCAAGATAGGCTGCTGTTTTGTGTGATGCTAACTGAATCTTTTCTCAACCGTTTAATCGAATGTGTTCTGATAACTGATCTGTATCAATTTAAAAGATTAGCAAAGCCACAAAAACAAAATATCATTACACTTTAGATCTGTATATTTTGATTATTAAAAATATGATTGTAACCATTGTATGAATAACGATGACATAAAACTATATCTATAAAACTACCAAATTGTGTTCTCAAACATTTATCAACGATATTTTTTCCTCTAGCTAAAGGTACAAAAGCTTTCTTAAGACTAAGAATTCTCCTGGCACTTCCATTGAATCATTATCTTGGCTAATTAAAGAAAAAAAACGTATCCTTACTTGATCCTTTGCGAAGATCATGCGAATATGATAAGAACAATTTTTTATCTTTATTCTATGCCATGATTAATGTTTATTTATGTTAAACGATAAAATATGAAGAAAAATGGATTTAGCTCAGAAATTCAGTTTAAAACTCCAGAAGATGAAAAAAATATTGTAATCTAAATGGTATTTGCTTAAGTTCAGAAGCATAATCACCATCCACTTGATGTGCAATTCGCGCCTAAATGACCATCACCTCCAAAGAATGGGCATTCTATGTACTTCATATGACATTGCTGTATGCATTCCATGACGTCGCAAGGATTGAGGGGAAAACTGCCTTGATAGCTCGGTATACAACCACTTCTTGAGCAACATGTACAAGCGCATGTACCACCATTGATTGATTTTGTAAAGCAAATAGGGCTGATCATGCTTACAAGAATCAAAATGATTATTTTATTCATATCTAAACAAATCACTAATTGAAAACGACATTTGTTTGGAAAAAAAGACAAAACATACTTTTATTGTTTCAAGATAATTGAGAAGAAGGTAGCTAATAAGACCTTTACTCTAGTCTAAATGCTATTTTTTTCGTTTTCTAATTGTTTCAACTACATCATGGGCAATTTATACCATTTTTC